GCTTTGAAAATGTATCACTTGAGGTGCTAGTAAATGGAAACTTGACTCTGCATTCTTACCAGGTCCTTCAGACCAGACTTCGTGCTCATCCGACAGCATGCATTTGGCATGGCAGAGAATGAAGACTTCCGCCACCTGGTTATTGGCATGCAATATGCAGGCCTCCCCAGCATCAATTCACTGGAGTCCATTTACAACTTCTGTGACAAGCCATGGGTGGTAAGCTCCCCCACCACTGCTTCCCCCAAAATACATCCAACACTCCAATAGTAGCACTGGCTGAGAAGATCTGAGAGGCTTGTCAGTTGGGAGTCTGGATGGGGCAGGCCATCACAGTAACATATTACCAGATGTCATGGGCTGCACGATTTTGCTGCAGAGTAGACCTTTGACCTCTCCAACATGCTGTGCAAAGATCCTGTGATAAAATCCTTTCGTATCTGTAGGCTTTTCTTTGACCAGGGGCTACCGTGATAAAAGTGCCTGCCTCTTGCCACTTAAAATGGGTAAACTATTGGAAAGGCCTAAAGCCAATAGAGAAATTCAACTCTGAATGGTATTAGAGACAGTTCTACTAGTGTTTAAACAACCTCAAAGTCAAGATTCTTTCACACACGCATGAATCAGAGAGACGGCAAATGTGCATTGGAAGTTTCTTTGAGGTAGTCAAGTTCTAACCTTTCATAGGAGAAAAAAGAAAATGAGGAGCATAAAACCTCTTTCTGTATGGTGCCACCTTCTGAGATTATTCTATGTAATTTCATTTAATCTTCATGATAAGCTTACCAGGGAGGTATTATTATTTTCACTTTGTACAGAGAAATGAGACCCAGGAAGGATCAAATCACTTGCCAAACTTACAGAGCCAGGATTTCTGTAAGTCGCACTGCCTCTCACGAGATGTGAAGCAGAGCTGGCTTGGTTCCTCCACGGTCCATCTAGAAATCTTGGAGGGCTGTAGAGACTTTTAGGCTGAGAAAGTATTGAAAGAATGAGGCATGAGGGACTGGGATGACTGAGTACTCCCCTCGGCTAGCTCTGCTGCCCCACGCTGGCCTCACGGAAGGAAATGTTTGCCTCTAATCGTATCCTCTTCATCTTCTTGTTTTTCAAAACTCAAATTTCACACATGCTAAATTGCCAAGATTCACCAGGCTTATTGCGACATTTCAGAACCTTAAACCTCTTCACTCTGGGAGCTGAAGGGGTATTCTATAACCACACAGGCCCACTGATTCTGGTATTGACTTTGTTGTTCTTTTTACACTCAAATGGGCAGCTTTCCTGTTCTCTGGATGCCAGAGAGACCTTCCAGTGTAGGAGGAAGAGGTGTGGACAAGGTCTGAAAGCTGCTGTGGTTAAGGAGGGGTTGGGTTCCTGAGTTCCCTTGCAGCTTTTCCCTGTGTGTGGCCTGTGACATCTGGAAAGCTACTGTTCTGCAAAAAAACAGGCTAAAAGGGTGGTGTGATTTGTGTGTGCTGCCTATCTCAGAAAACACATATGAGGTCTCTATCAAATATTTTTCTGGGAACTGCCCATTTCTCCTCAGTTACATGACCTTCCTCCTGAAATATGCTCTAACCCACCCTATCCCCACTTCCTGTCAGAGTTTGGTTCTCTCATAGCTATGTAGGATGATGTTGCTGATATCAGCTTTTACTGAGTGATTTGATAATGTAGCCCTGTGACAAACCATCTCATGTATCTACAAACTGTAATTAATACTGTATATGATGTTGTTTTGCCAATGTGATTATTATAGTTCCCTGATATTGAGACCTCCCAAAGAAAATGGTCCTGTACTTCTTTTCTTAAACTGTGGCAGAAGAACGAAGAGATCCCCCATGAGACCTGGGATCTGGTGAGGGGTCACATTCTCACCCATTCACAATCCCAGCACATTGCCTTTGGCCTTGCATGGGAACAACAGGGCTTGTTGGCCACACACCAAGTACTCCCTGTAGGCTCACTAAGCAGCTGCCACACAAATGACATATGACATGTTGTTCTCAGCTTGTCAGTAGAAGTGGACACATTTAATGACAGTAAGTGGAGTGGCCCTCTGATATGATAACATTGGCTCATGTTTCCTAAATTTCTTTGCTCAGGTGCTCTTGATGTGGGGAGAGGTATCCAGTGGGCTAGAGAGTGTTGTGCCCTGTACTAGAGTGACTCTGAGCAATGACTCTGCTGTACCCCAAACTGTCCAGGCCAGCCATGGCTTTTCAGAAGAAATAGTTCTGTCAGTGAAAACAATGGTCCAGAGAAAGCAAGAATGCCACCGTCTCTGATTGTTCCAGATGTATCTGTATTCTGCCTTCCTTGGAGATGGATGGACCTGGGTTAAACTAAAGCGCTTAATATCCCGGAAAGACAGGAATAACACATTATTCAAATAGAACCTGAAACCCCATTTCTTCAATGAATTCTTTCTTAAGTTATTAGATAGGTGATTTAAATAAGCATCTTTCTATTCACTGCCAACAACACATCAGCTCTCAGATTCATTTTTTTTTTTTTGGTTGGCATAGAGGAAATAGCCCTTATCAGATATTACCTTTGTTTAATTGGTAACTGTGTACTTTCGACTTAATCTAAGTTTCCAGGGAGTTAGAGTTTGATGCCAAACCTAGTACATTAATCAGACAGGGAATGGAGTGGGGAGGGTAGAGTGAGCTCTCAGGGACCCAACGAAAGCCTGGGAACTGGCTGTCATTTTAGTCTTGGCTGTCCCAGGGCCCTGGGAGTCTGCCGGAGGCCTTCCTGGCATCTGTGTGGTTGTCTGTGTAACTCACCCACACATAGGGAAGATAGGGCCCCACATGTCTTGGTGCAATGCCAGAGTGTGGGCTGCAGCAGGACAGAGGTCTTTAGGCAGAGCTGGCATCAGCTCCCTGGGGATGCTGGAAAGCCTTAGAAGCCTGGGCAGAGAAAGAGTTCTGCCAGGTCCAGGCGGGCAGGTAGGTCTGAAGCTCAAGTGAAGTTGGAGGAACTGTAGAATGAAGGAAAGGGCTGAGGGCCAGTTTGGACAGTCAGAGCAAATTGAAGAATCCCTGGATGAGAAGGGCAATGAAGAATGTAGCAGACAAGGAATAAAGGAACCTGGGCACTCTCTCAGTATGGCCTCAATACCACATGTGCTCTGAGGCTTCAGCCACAGTCTCCTCACATGTGTAACAGGAGTTCTGGTGTGGAATCTGTCTGATCTCTTTCATCAGTAGTGCGATGGAGACTGAATCCTAAAGGAAGTCTTAGAACCCTAAGGTTACTAGTTCCACATCACTGAAGGCTGCAACCCCCAAAGGTCCACGTTTCCTTGCATTTTAATAGAATCTTCACCAAAAAAGGACCTGTGATCTGATGTTTAAGAGGAAATACAATAGAAGATGTTCTTCCTGATGCACAGTATGGGAAGCAGATGAAACTGACCCTTCTCTGCTCATATCTAAAGAGGGAGCCTGGAAAGGATGGGCCTTTTGTCCAAAGGCTACAGTTAAGAGGAAATCACGAGAAGGCTCTGCTTTGCTAGTGACCCTCCTGCTTAGTACACACACTAATACCTTTACAGAGAATGGGACCTAAACTTTTTTTTAAAGTCCTAGATTTCCTGTCTCTGATGAGTCTGATCCAACAACTTTCCCTTGTAGCTGACCAAGATATTAGTGGTTTGGAGCCTGAACTGATCCCACTAGAGAAAAGATGCTAGATTTCCCTTGCTGCCCATGCACTTGGAGTTGGCATTGTGGGATAGATGTGGACTGGCTGGGAAAGTCCTCTGCTTCTTGTGAGAAGAACATTGCCTCTGTAGAATCAGAAAAGTAGACACTCCAAGGATTAAACAGAGGATCTGACAGTGAACCTGGCTGGAGAGTATGACCGCAGGCAGCTGACCTGTTTTTAGGTTTTTCGTGTTTCAAAGGCCAAGGAATACTGGATGTGTACCAGAAGCCTTCCTGCCCCAATGCTGAATATTTGAACCTAGCGTTTTCTCATTTTTAACCACATAAAGGGGTCAAGGGAGGTCAGTCTTTATAAATCCAGTAAGTCAGTGCCGGGAAGATGATCTGTATGTCTGACCCTCCAGTCTTTCAGAAGAACAGCCTTATTCATGGCACCTCTTGCGCAGACTCTGGTGGGTCCGTATAGCACACAGGAGAGGGTTATTTATTTCTTGCCTGGCACGTCACCGCTCCGGTTTTACCTTGCTCTGTTACCCAGAAGAGCATATGTTTGGAGCCAGAGACTCAAGTTTCAATCCTTACTGCACATCTTTTCAGTTCTATTATAATTTTTTTCTCAAGACAAGATTTTACCATGTAGCCCAACACACTAGCCTGGAGCTCACTATGTAGCCAAGCTACATCATCCTCCTGCCTCCACTAAAAGTTGTCATTACGTACATGTGTGCACCGCTCTCCCTGCTCCAGTTTTGTGAGCCAAGTGAAGTTTCCTACCTCTTCTCATCCTTGTCAGTTTGAAAAGAGATTATGTGGAAACCATTACCATAAGTAGGTTCTTGATGATGAATACCAGCTTTCTCTTTCCCTTCCCCAACTAAAGTATACGTCCTTAAAGAGGAATTGCATGTACCTTTCCTTTCTCTGTATCGGCAGTGTATTTAACACAGTACCTTCTATAGAGAAAATGCTCTATTTATTTGATGAATTGATGTTTTATCTGTTCCAGAAGTTGAGGATACATCAAAATTCTTTCTTGTCTTTTGCAGTTTGCACAGATGGTGGCCATCTTCAAGACACTGGGAGGGGAGAAATTCCCACTCATTGAGCAGACATACTACCCCAATCACCGAGAGATGGTAGGTGGCTAAGTGGATCTTTGACTCTGCTGTTTCTACTTTTGCCACATGGTGACTCTAGAGGTCTGGCAACAGTCTCAACACCTCAGGCCCAACATGTCAGGTGGCTGTGGAACTGCCTAGAGCAGCAAAAGTAGCTAGATTTTAGCCAAAAGCTTTTTGTTCTCCAATTCCGGGGACAGAATAGAGAAAAGCAAAGGGATTTTAATGTGAGAGAGTAACAAATCTGTGAACCAACAGTCTGGAGTGTCATGATTTTTCTGTGTAGCTCTAGCTTTGCCATGTGTCACTAAGGATGTTACATTCCCTCACCATATGTCAATTTCCCAACCATGCCAAGTGGCATAGCTGCTCTTGACCAGGATATCTAATACAGCATACACACGATTTCAAGGAAATTCCTCAAGTAATAGCTTTCTGGTAGGTCTGAAGCCTCCTAAGATAAAAGCTGTTGCTTCTGTTATTCTTCACTAGGCTTGCATTTCCCTGGCTCCTCCAAATTGTGACAAGGCAGAGTTAGTCCTGTGTCTCCTTTGTGTCCACCCCCAGAAGTCAGAAGGAAAAGACAAATGGTTGGTAGAAGGCTGCGAGGATGTTTCACATTGAGCAACCTGGAGGTTACTTTCCAGCTTCCTCTCCATCCCCACACCCTATGCCCACAGATGGTGTGGATTTTTACTGGATGATCCCACTTGGAATCTCACTGCCAGAGCCTTCCAAGTGCTGTGTTCTGGGACAACAGAGATCATATTTGGTCCCTTCTACTTCTTCCTCCAAAGGAGATCCCTGTCACTTTATCTAAATCCAGCTCCTTCTCCCAGCATAGCACACATGGCCCTGCTTAACAGTTGTCCACACATCAAAAATGAAAACCAGTCCTAAGCTGTCAAAAAGAACTGATAATGTCTACCGTCTTCTCCAGGAAAAGGTTTGGGGGATGTTGAGTTCTATGATTTAATAAACCACAGAGGCCATTGTCAGTGTTTTTCCATGTAGGCAAACCAGGAAGACTTACAGAGGAGCTGAGAAGCCTTCAAGGGACTGCAGCTAGAGTCTAAGATACAGTGGTAAGGGGAGTGAGGGTCACAGCTGGCTTTTTCCTGCTGTAACACCTAGCAGGGAGAGCCGCTGAAGAAGCTTGAAGCAAGTGAAGGTGTATTCCACGCTACATCTTTTCTCCAGAGACTCCTTGTATTATCTCCCTTCACTAATACTTGGCCTCAGGAAAAGATCATGACAAGGAAGATCATGATGGGGGGGGGGTACACCTTTGTTGTTGTTTCACCTGTTTTGTTTTGTTTAAAAACAAAGTTCTAAAGTAGGAACAAAGACATTAGCAACCTAAAGGAGCTGAAGAGAAGTCCCCAGACGCCAACAGAAGGCAATAGAGATATTTAACCTGAAGGGAAATGCTTGTTCTAGTATGTAAGTTTTCTTTTCCAAAAATGTATGCCAACTGGGCCAGACCTTCTGCCAGCAAAAGTATCAGGGGACTTGCAGGACAAGAGGAAGAGTGGGCTGTTCAGCTCTCACTGCGTCCTTCAAGCAGATAAAAGTGTGTCAGAGGATTAGGCTAGTTTGAAACAGTGGGAGGAGGAGATATGGAGCTTTAGTGTATTCTTTTCATTTTAGCCAACCAGCTCGCTCATGATACAGTCAGCCCATCCTCCATAGCATACATCACAAGATTGTACATTTTATGACAGTCACAGCTTCTCCCTTATCATATGAGTTAAGAAAAGCCAGTTAAACAAAGCTAGAATAAAAACTCTCAGTAATAGGCATAATCTAGACTAACAAGGTTTGGGAGACAGGAGAGAGGGGCTGAGGGCAAGGAAGATAAGTCATACTACTTTCCAACCCTTGACAAATTGTGAGCTGGAGATGTGAACGACAGACACAAGCTGTCACATGTTCCCCAGCCTCCATTTTGCTGGCCAGGCCACGCACTTGTCATTCCCCATCATCTGGCAGCAACATGGCAGGTGTGATGGCCAAAGTACCACAGAGAACTGGCTTGGTCTTCAGAACTCTTCCAAGGAAGTGGTTACTGGTCCCCACTAGGGCTGGATGATGTCGACGTACTCCTTCCGGAGGTGTAGGTGGCCTCGGTACCAGCTGCAGATGCCATCAACATGCTTCATGCAGACATAGTGCTGGGCCTGGTACCCATAGAGCTTCCGTTCCAGCAGCCAGTCTGTCCAGAGGCACTCATTAGGGGCTGAGATGGTACACGGCACTGCGTAGCAAGTGGTGATCTAGTCGTGATTACACAATAGCAAAGTGACTAGAATGTCCTCTCTCTGTTGCTGCCCTTCCCACTCCTGTGTTCTCACAGCCATCTCAACCGCCTTTGCTTATCCCAGTCCCAAGCTCCCTCCTGAGCTCTTCTCCCTATCTCTATGTAAACAGTGTTATCTTCCTGGTGGAACATAGACTCAGCCTTGATAGGCCCAATTCTTTCTTTACCTTCAAATGAAAATCTTGGGTCGTCACAAATTTGTTATAGTCTAAATTAAAATTTGAAAATAAATGAATTATTACAGGGCCTGGAAGAGTACTGTCTTTCCATGTTCCCTTGTTTCCTTCCTTCCTTCATTCCTTCCTTCCTTCCTTCCTTCCTTCCTTCTTTCCTTCTCTTTCTTTCTTTCTTTCTTTCTTTCTTTCTTTCTTTCTTTTTTTCCTTCCTTCCTTCTCTCTTCTTTCTTTCCTTCCTTCCTTCCTTCCTTCCTTCCTTCCCTCTTCTCCTTTCTTTCCTTCCTTCCTTCCTTCTCTCTTCTCTCTCTCTTTCTTTCTTTCTTTCTTTCTTTCTTTCTTTCTTTCTTTCTTAAGGCAGTGTCTTACTATGTTGCCCAACTGAGCTCAAACTTGGAATCCTCCTTCTTGCCCCAACCTCTCAAGTACTGCCATTACAGGAGTATAGCATACACTTGGCTCAGATTTTCTTCAAATGGTGGTTTAGTATCATTTCAGTCTGCCACATGTGATTGCTGGTGTCTCAAAGTACCTACTTCAAGTATTTTGAGGTAAGGCACTGTGTACTCTGCTTTCCCACCCCAACTTTCATGGCACAGTGTAAGTATAGGAAGTGAGTAAATGCATGTATATGGAGGAATATATTAAGGACAAAATCCTAAGGCTCTAAACTTGTCCCTCACCCACAAGTGACCTCAGAGATGGACGTTCCCTTCCTTACTTGGCAGCCACAGTTCTGGTGGTAGTGATGATTCAGGCTTTCCCTCTGCACCAAGGACAGGTCCTCCCAGGGCTCAATGTAGTTGCATAGATGGATGAAGACTTTTCCATCACTGAGAATCTGGCCTTTGTGGAGAGATAGAAAGGAGTCAAATCAGGAGATTGCTTAGGTTCCCCCAGGGGTCCCAGTCATTAAACAGCTCAGAAGAACAATTTTTGTAATGGTCTTCCTTCCTTCCTTCCTTCCTTCCTTCCTTCCTTCCTTCCTTCCTTCCTTCCTTTCCTTCTTCCTTTCTTACTCTTTCTTTCTTTCCTTCTTTCTTCCTTTCTTTCTTTCTTTCCACTTGTGTATGTGCTGAAATTATGCTCTATGTGTGCTAAACACACACTGTACAGAGAAAACTCCACTCCAGTCTCAAATGGCTTTATGACAACAGTGACAGTTTAGGACTCAGACAAATCCTTGTAACCTTTAAAGCAAAGACTATTCATGATATCTGTACAGGGAAGAATTATGAGATCTGCTGAACGTCTTTTCCTTTAGCATGAAGCAGAAAGAAGGTGGGATTTAAAATTTGACTGCAGCTTGTCATCTGGTGGCACATACCTGTAACCTTAGGTCTCAGGAGACCGAGGCAAGAGGATCAAAGCTTAAAATCAGCCTGGGCTACATAGAGAAACAAACAATAGGTACAAGTAAAAAACCAAATAACAAAATGATTGACTGCAGGGTTGGGAATGTAGCTGAATAATAGAACACATACTTAGCTTATGACAGGCCTGCACTAGATCCTAGCAGAGGGTTAGGGGAGAGGGGTAGCTTCTCCTCTTATGTATCAGCTGCCTTAACCTTGAAGCAGGTCACAGAAACCTTCAGATGGAGGGTGGAAATGGTAAAGCTGTTGCTGAAATTAAATGAGAGAATGTATATAGAGTTCTCTATACAGTTGTAGGCCCACAAAAGATATCCACTCCTTTCCAATATCCATACTGGCCTCTCTTGCCCCAGTGACAGCTATCTTGGTGAGTATTTTCCCATAGGAAAGTACCTTAAAAACAACTTGTCAAATTCCTTCAGTCTTTCATAGATATTTCTCTTAAGCAACAAAGAAGTTGTGAGCTCCCGTGTGCTAGGAATTGAACTGAGTCCTGTAAAAGAGCAGCCAGTACTCTTAACCACAGAACCACTTTGCCAGCCCCATAGATCTTTTCAATACATATTTTCCTCAAAGCTATCCCTCACCCCTCCTAGAACTTGGACACTCAACCATATATTCACTAAGCAGCTGCTTGCCCTAGTAGCAGATGCAGAAATCAATGACAGTATCTCTGCCCCTTAGGGGGGTACACAGAAAGTAGGTGTTGGCTACTGGACTATAACCGTCCAGATAGAAGAACAAAGTGCAGAAGAGGGTGGGTAAAGGAAGCTCCCTTGAAGGAATGAGTGGAAATTCACTGTCAACCAAGTACAAGGGCCTCTGGACACTGGGACTGTCTTTCACAAAGGCAAGAGGACAGCCAGACACCCTGCAACCACAGGTAGTTCAATTCAGCTCTCGGGGAGAAAGAAACAAGGTACCATGTCACTTATAAGTGACAAAGAAAAAACTATAATGTCATGGTATAACCTATCAACGAAGGGTTTTACCAATCAATCCCTTCTTCTGAAGGCATGGGCACCATTAGTACTGTTTTGCAGAGTTATATTTTCTTGTGTGTCTCAAACTTTGGTTATTCTTGACCTCTTTGAGGACAGAAACCCTAAATTCTCTTTTCCCTGACAGACTTCAGTGAGAATGAGAAACACAAAGTAGGTTCTCAGGAAAGGGATAGGGAGATGTAAAGGGACTGATCTGTTTACGAGGAAACTGGAGGGTACAGTGACTTGTCCTGTTTATGCAGGGGCTGCCCAGGGTAGTACAATCCCACACCTTTCTTGCTACTAGGGGCCAAGAAGCTCCTTTTGTTGTATCCTCTGGTTCCTGTCACTTTTCAGGAGACATGTCTGGACTATGGATTTATTGAAGACTATGACCTACTCCTGAATCTCCACTCTTCTACCCGAGGCCTGGTGGTATGGCCATCTGCTGGCTCTACAGATAGAGAGTAGAACTCCTCCCTATTCTCCCTGTGATCTGTGATTTTTATTTTCCATCTTGTAGGCCATTGTAGAGCCCGAATAGTGGAACTTCCCTACTTGTTCACAACCATACCAGCACCTCTTTTCCTGAATTCCAAAATACTTTAGTATTGTATTCATTTATTCCCAGATCATATTCTTGGGTATATGGGATGGGTGGCTCATTTACTTTTCTGTCCCAAGCAGTTCAGTATGGAGGAGGCTGGCCCAGCCCCAGGTTCATGGAGGTGGAACTGTAAGAGTCAAGCTTATGCACAGGGCAAGATCAACACATAGGAAACACTTTCCAGAGATGCATTTGGGTTCAAGATACCAAAGCCCTTATACCATAAAACTTTTAAAATGGAACTAGCTGTCCAAGATTGGTAGAACAGCCTGTTGTTAACATAGTGAAACGGTGGCCATGATCACTGTAGCAGGGACTCCTGTGTTTTGAAAGGGAGTTCATTGCTCCTCCGAACTAAAAGGCCCTGGTCACGATCACAACTCTGTTTAGCCCCTTAACTTACCAGTCAAAAGATACTGCTTCTGACTGTTGGTTTCTAGTTTCACACCACAGAGGGAAGAGTCAAATGGCGTGTAGACATACTGAATATCCTTGGCCTTCTCGAACCCTTTAAACATCTGAAAGGCAGTTGTAGAAGGGCAACACTGGGTCAGGAGTGTAATGGGAACGGCAGCAGGTTAAAAAAATGTTCACTTCTACCCAGACATTGAACAAAACTCAAATTCAGGCTTGGCGCGCAGATGACCTTGCTGGCATTCATTCATTCATTCATTCATTCATTCACTCAATCACTCACTCACTTAAATCTACGCCTTGATTTATCTCAGGGAGATGGGGAGATCCCATGGACAAAGAAAGAGCTGTAGGACAGGATAGATAGCGAGTCCCCACCCTGAACAATCACTTGGTTTCCATGGGCCCTGCCTAAACCAGTTCATATTCATTTCAACACCTCCATAAAGAGACCAGAGCCTGTTGCCTGACTCTCACCAGGTCATTCCTCCCATAGCACAAGCCCTGTCCCTCCATCAGCCCATCGTGGTTCAGCCCCTGTCCTGCCCTCATGTACCTTGATCTGTTTGATTTCATACCGGATCAGTTTTTGAGTGTCAGCAGGGTCTTCGCTGGCAGGGACTACCTTCTCACTGGATATTTTGGCCCGTATCACTGCACAGAAAAAGGGAAACTTTAGCACTGTGGGAGTATGCCCTCTGAGATCTAGATGGTATGGGCTTCTCTGAGTGTTCAGGAAATTCTTGGTTCAAGTGTTTTGGGTTCTTAGCAGTATGGTAACATAGAAGAGAAGGGACTTGGAATTTACTCTGCAGTAGCTGCCAGCTTTTAGCCCTACAGGGCTGTTAGATCCTCACATTGTGTTCTTTTGGCCTTTTAACCCATTAGTTTCCAGAGCACAAGTTCTCCATAGCCCTGGGTGTAATGAGAGTAGGAGTCTCTTCAAGGCAATTGGTGTGGGACTGTCTGTCAGTACATCTTAGCACCTCATAGCTCACCTAGAAGTGACAGTAACAAATGGTCATCTTCTCCAGTGAGGAAATTCATCTCTTTCCATCTAATCAAGAATTGTTTGTATTTTATTTTTCAGCATTGAAGACTGAATCTAAAGCCTCATGCATGAGAGGTAGATGCTCTATCAGTGAGCTTCAGCCCCAGTGCTGGAAAATCTGTTTAAAAAGTTCTTCCTCTCTGCCTGAACTTGTACTAGGTACAAGGCTCATCGACAGGGCCCTCACCCTGTAGAAGTCTTAGTCTAATGGAGAATACTGTATTTAAAAGAAAAAAAAAGCAGCACCAATCTACCACAAGTAGGGAACAACAAAGAATCAAGAAGCCTTCAGAAAATGAAGGGTAAATAGTGGTTGCCAGGAATTTAAAGTTGTGAAAGAAGGGTATCCAGGCAAGGGAAGAGAAAGGAAGAAAGGTGTGCCCTGTGGGGGCACCTTGGCAACCTCAACTGCAGACTGGGAGACAGGTGTTATAGTGCAAATGCCCCTTCCCTCCAGGAGTTCTGGAAATTACCTGATAGCTCCAGAGACAGCTAGGTCCTATCAAGCTGAGCTGATAGGACTACTCTAGAGGTCCATGATAGAATACTTACTCTACAAATCAGGCTTTGCACTTCCAAGGTCAGTAAAGCAATAGCCATTTCTGACCTATCAGCTGCCACAAGAGGCACCCATACGTGATCTGAGCTCCACCCCTTCCCTTAGATTCCAGGTCTAAAATCTGCCCAACACCACTTTTCCCACTGGCAACCCCTGCTGTGGTCCTAAAGGGCCACAGACTCACCTAGAGCAGAGTGGCAGACGTGCTGCTGGGGGTGCGCAGGCGCGCAGCTGCACGCCTCACCCCGTCCAGGGGGCCACAGCAAAGCCAGCAGCCTCAGCACCAGCGCCCAGCTCAGCGCAGCCAGGGGGCTCCAGGGCATGACACTGCAGAGCCCCAGCTGAGCTCCTGGGGTCTGCCTGTTGTAACAAACAGCCCCTCTAGGACTCCTCCAGAAAGCTTCGTGCAGTCCCCGTCTTTATGAAGTGGCTTTAGAGCCAATCCCTCCCCCATGGGCTCCTCCCTCCTTTGGCATCAGGCCACCCACAGCCGCAGGACCCATGGTCCTCCAGACCAGACCAACAGACCCAGTCAATGCAGAGGGAAGCCTGCAGATTCCGAAAAGAGCCTGGAAGTAGAGGAAGACTCTGCGTTAGGGCCAGTGAGATAAAAGCAAAGACCAAGGAAGAGACTTAGAAAAGAGAGAAAGAAAGATGAGGGACTGAGGCTCCAGCACTAAGAGCAATAGCAAGTGAGGGAAGGCACAGAGAGACACTGGCCAAGTCAGAGGCAGACAGAATTACAACAGGCAAAAGAGACAGTGACAGAGGAGGACGGACCCCTCGCTGAGCTGCATACTGGGAATGAGACAAGCTACTCAGGGCTTCTTTCAGCTGCAGGAAGTGTTTTCAATGCCCTATTTACGAGGCTCCAAAGCAACAGCAAACAGTCAGGGAACAGGACAGAGAAAGTTGGGGTGTGTGTGTCTTGGCGCTGTCAGCCAGGGGTGGGGGGTGGGGGCGGTGGGGGGTGGTGGGGAAGGATGTCAGAGAAAGTAGCCAGAGCTTTCAAACTCTTTCTCACAGCCAGAGCCTTAGTTGGACTCTACAGAGAGTTGGGGCCAGTTCTTTCCATGGAACTTAAAACAGGGGGTGTCCTGTAGCTCAGGGCAAACTTTGGGCCTTAGAGCGCCTACTGCACATCATTGGCCTCTGGAGACTGCCATGTTGCAGAAGGTGGAGCCGCTTAGCAAACAAGCCAGGCACTCATTGTGACCCAAGCCTTGTCCACTGTTTGTCAGCAAAGTGCTCCAAGAATTTGAATGAAAAGAAGCTCGTGGAATGACTGCCTAGGGAGAGTAGGAGGCTAGGTTCTGATTCTGACTGCCATTGAGTCTGTTAGTGTGATCTTTGCCTTTCTGGGCCCTAACTTTTTTCTCCATAAAATAGGACTGAACTATACGATTTATTCCTCTCTTCATTTTACATTTGGTAATGATGTTTGAAAGAAAGGACTCGGAAAAGAATGAAGTCAGAGGCAGGTGACAGGTCCAGGCTGATATCAGTGCTCAGACCAAGAGTTGTCCCTTGGAGGGGTCTTAAAAGCATCAGCTCAACCTTGTCACTTGGCAGATGTGAAGGCTGAGAGGCTCAGTGCCATGGAGTGACTTGCAGAAGATCAGTGGCGGAGAGAACTGGAATCTTCACCTGCTAGTGCTCTTCCAGTGCTTCCAGGGTGGGCTTCCAGTGCTCTCCCCACCCTGCTGTGATACTGTGCTACTTCTGCCTGAATTTTGTTGCAGCTCAAAATCCTGCCTTTGGAAGGTCCATCTTCCTTTAAATCTTATTCCTCCTCTGATAAAACTGGGCTACTTTGGGAAAGAGTTTACTTTCTTAAGGATGTCTCTCAAGGGTAAACATGTCAAATTCTATGTCATCTCTTTCAAATCCTGAACTGGACAGAGATAGGCCTCAGCATACTAAGTCTGTGTTTGGTCCTGAGTCTATGATGTTGGCAAAGAGTGAAGAGTGTGACAGAGGAAGAGGACAGGGTCAGCACAGGGAAGATGGCACTTGATGGGGAAAGGTCAGAGGTACATGTTTCAAATGGACATTAAAGTACTCAGTGCATTTCCTAACATTTCTGGTTTATTACAGTATGGTTTACAGACAGCAAAATTTACTCTTTCATGAATTAAAAAACAAACAAACAAAAAGAACAAAAACCTTCTTAGCTGTGAGGGGTCCTGCCAGGGTTATCTAGTGCAGAGACAATGGAAACAAAGATGTAGCACATCAGATAGGAAGCTCTGCTTCCAGCCTACTGTGTAACCTTGGGAACGCTGCTGTCATTTTATGGGTTCCATATGTAAAACAAGTAAGGTGTAGTAGTTCTTTATTTCATTTCAATATTTTTATTAATTATCCAAGAATTTCATGCAATGTATTTTGACAAATTCACCAGAGATTTTTTTTCCAATTTGTGTAGATGTATGTATGGATGTATGAGTTTGTATGCATCATGTGTATGCAGGTGTCTGCAGAGGCCAGAAGGTGTCAAATCCCTGGAGCTGGAGTTACAGATGGTTCTGAGACACCTGGCGTAGGTGCTGAGAACTAAACCTGGGTCCTCTCCAAGATCTGTAAGCTGTCTTAACTATGAAACTCTCTCTATGTTGATTCTTTAAAGGATGTTCCCAAGGGTCTTCCAAAGGAAAATATTTTAGGATTCCAAAGAGAAAAGACTTACTGACCAGTCCGTTTCTTCCTTTTCTCCTCTCAGCTTACACTTCCTACGTTCCCTGTAGTGGTGAAGATTGGCCATGCTCACTCAGGCATGGGCAAGGTAAGGCAGGATGGCTGTGGTGCTCTGGGTTGAGTCTGGGGAGACGGGGTGCTCGTGTTTTGCCATTATCAAAATGATGTGATTGGCTCGGAGACTCCATGTTCCTCTGACTTCTCCGTGATTGAATGTACATGTCACCCTTCTTGTCTGTCTTATATTACTATTAGGTTAAAGTGGAAAATCACTACGACTTCCAGGACATTGCCAGTGTGGTGGCCCTCACCCAAACCTATGCCACAGCAGAACCCTTCATTGACGCCAAGTATGACATCCGGGTTCAGAAGATTGGCAACAACTACAAGGCTTACATGTGAGTGTGTATGTGCGTGTGCGTGTGCGTGTGTGTGTATTCAGCAGGTCCATTTGCCCCCAGCAGCCTGTTTAACCTCATCAGATCTATAAGGTACAGCAGGGAGAGGATGCCTCTAAGTAAGGCTTCTTAGCCTGAATTTTTGATAAGTCGGAGTCACAGTCTGAGAAATAAAATTATAGCCAATTTTATTGGCCTCAAGGTAGATTTTACTCTGTCTACCAACAGGAGCAAAGACTGTAGTCTACAGTATGGCAGTTATATGGGCCTTTTCATTAACAGTGGTCATAAGTATTCTTGAATCACACTGTCATATAGGTTATGACAATTTTCGGTAAAATCAACCTGTCTTACTCTTCTAAAAAACAAGGCAGACATTAAACCTGCCACTGCATCGTGTTCACAGAAAGGCCTATCTTAATAATTTTTTAAAAACGGATTGTGCACCTTGTAACCCTATGTACTTTATTTTGTACATTACACACACTACACATTTCATACTACCAGAGGGATCTGTGTGCTTCACCAGACTGGAAGAGCACACAAGCAGCTGAGCCCCTCATATAAACACCCAGCCTTGGAAATGCTACCAAACACTGGCAGCCCCGCTCTCCCACGAATGGAGGGCTGCTCCACATAGCCGCATCCACAGGGAAAGGTGTAGATGTCAGGAAGACAGAAGACTTCAAGGTTTCCCTGGCCTTCTGTCATATACATGCAGACAGTGTACAGCTCCAGTTTTGAGATATTAATCTTTGGCCTTTTTAAACGTTGGTTAAGATGTGAAGTTTTCTTTACAAATAATATTATTAATAGATGAATTTGATTTCTGCCACTCAAGACACATGAAGTTGAATCCTTCCTGTCCCTCAGCCAGACCCCTTGTTCCCACTGTCTCCCTTCCCACTCTTTTGGTTGGTGGAGGGTGGGGAGTACTCCTTCCCTGAACTCTTTTCTATACCTGCTCCACACTTGAGTCCTTCCCACAAAGCGTGCTCTTCTCTAGGGGGAATTTCTTGTGGGAGAATGATGAAAGTACTGTTTCTTACCCTGCATGGCAGTAGGATGCCCTTGAAGAAAGCTGAAGCATGGTGGTGGGGGTGTCTTTCTGATTTGGGAGGTTTGGATTTATAGTTTGGGCTGTGATCTCTCTGTGTTTCTCTGTCTTTCTCTGTCTTTGTTCTTTCCCATCTCTGTCTTTCTCTGTCTCTTCTCTTCCTCTTTCTCCCTGCCTCATTCCCTCCCTCCCTCTCTCTCTTTCTCTCTTTCTCTCTCTCTTTCTGTCTCTGTGTGTGTGTGTATGTGTGTATATGTATAGGTGTGTATGTGTGTATGTGTATATATGTGTGTGTATGTGTGTGTGTGTGTGTGTGTATACCTGCATGGATCCAGGATCTTTCACATGCTAAGCACATACTCTATCCTAGGATCCACTACTAGTCTAGAATTTATTTTTTACCTTTATCGACTAGATTCTTGTTTTCAAAACATTAATAATTGTTTATCATTTTCCTGCTTCCAAAGAGGAATTAAGCATTGCTTTAAAACTATGTAAAATTAAAGACAGCTCTTTTGTTTTGTTTTTGACTGGTTAAAAGATGAAAAACTGCATATTTCTGAGAGACAGGCAGATCTCTGAGGGGGGATAGTGTGTGTGATTCTGACAGATAAGAAGAGTAGCTAACTACAGTACCAGTTTTGGGTGACATTTTTAGTGTTTTTCTTTACAAGGGACCATTAGTGTTTTGGGGGAGTGTTTATAATCCTGCTCTGAGCAGGAATTGACCTAGCAGGAGCTAAGGTTAGGTGTGGCAGTCTTCCCCTCGAGATCCCCCAACAGCACTATTTGGTGAAAAGGTGTTCCTCCCACCCTACTATCAACAGAGGAAGTTAGCTGTCCTTGGGGCCTTTCATTCTTTTCTGTCTTTGTCTCTTCCTCTGCCTGTCTCCTTTCCTCCCTCCCTCCCTCTCTTTGTCTCTGTCTCTCAATAGAATTTCTCTGTGTAGCCCTGGCTGCCCTGGAATTCTCTCTGTAGACCAGGCTAGCCTTGAACTCAGAGCTCCACCTGCATCTGCCTCACGAATGCTGGGATTAAAGGCATGCACCACTACACCTTGATTAATTTTCTTAATGAGTGTTTACAGTAATGGGTTTCATTGTGTCATTTTCAAACATACTTTGCTTTTGTTGAGCTTCCTCGCCCCCACTCCTGGCCTTTGCCTCCCCCATGCCTCCCTTCAGTATCCCCTCTCTGCTTTTATAGCACATGTATTCTACCTGTGTTTCTTTCCCGCCCATCTCAAGGTCCATTTTCCTCTTCCCATGGCCTCCTTTCTAGTTTCATGACCTAGACCCCATATGCAAACATACACACATATAAATATTAGACTATAAGCTCTGTCTGTTAGTGAGAATGTGGTGTTAATGTGGATATGGGTTGCTTTGTTTAACATAATTTCTAGTTCCATCCATTTTTCTGCTAATGTCATGATATCAATTTTCTTTGTAGCTGAATAAAATTGCACTGTATGTGTACCATGCTTTCTTTATCCATTCACCTGTTCTATTTCCTGACTGTTGAGAATAGTGAAGTAGTAATGAGGATGTGCAGGTATCTGCCATAGGACTTAAAATATG